GCCGGCTGCTCCTTCTTTGTGGGGGCGAATTGCTTTGATTTTTGGTAAGAAACAGCCATGATTTCATCCTTTTAGCTTGATTTAGCTTGGGTTAACTTTGGTTCTCCAATTTTTGGCTAGTCCGTGAGTTCCCCTGTAGCTTGCCGCCGGCTTCTTCCCTCCAGCAGGTCCGGTTTTGCTTGCTGGAAAATTGTGGGTAAGTTGACAGCTCCTCCAAGCTTGAATTTCATCAATTGTTTGCTGCCTTGTGTCCGAATTTTGGCTGAAAATTGGGGAGGAATTCCGGTAGCTTTAGGATAAAGTTTAAGCATTGATTCAAGTCGAATTTGTGTGATTGAGTGTTAATTGACTGCTGTGTGATTTTTGGAGAAAATCCCGTGAATTAGCTAGTGTTTTGGCCAATTTTTGGAAGTGCAGTACTGTTCACGTCGTGGTACTATTCACAGCACCGTTCATAGGTTACTGTTCACACACCGAGGGCCAAGAATTAGAAGGGATTAAATGTTTAGTTTGTAATATAAGAACAAATTTGGAGATATCTGATAATGTGGAGACTAATAGAAATAGCATCGTGATTAAGGGTAGTCTTAATGATGATTCAGTGTGAATTTGTGATAGTACGGTATTAATTTTCAGATATTTTGATTAGGTTCTTAATCGTTCTGTCAGTTTAGCGCTAAGATCGAGTTTTCGGTTTTATGCGAGTGAGGTAAGTAAATATATGATAATGCTCATATAGTTTTTAAAGCATGTTTTGATTTGTTTTTGAAGTGGTGGCGGGATCAAATCCGTTTTATACGAGCATGACTGATTTGAAGTGAAGTTTTTATGCTTTTCATTAAATGGAGCATGCCTACTTGAAATTTAATTGATTGTCCCGATAATCTGAAAGTGATTGATGAATTATGGTTTTTCTGTTAAAATCTTGCCTGGTTTTGTCTCCGATATGGTCATGTATTCGTGTGCCCGCTAGTGGGAGGTTTATAAACGCTAGCACATGTTGACATGTTACTGATAGAATCAGTTCGTTTCTGTTATCCTGCTAGTGGGATTATACACTAGTAAATCGTGTGCCTGTCAGTGGGAGGTTTATAACACTGGCCAGACCTATAAAGGAGACGTCTATTTCGTTCCATACTCGTACCTATTTTCGTGATGATACTGGTTGGCATGTTATAAGTAATTAAGGGCACTCCATATTTTACTTACTGTGTTTATCTCATAGTTTTCTTTGTCCACCATTTCAAGAAGCGAAACCGAGGACGGGGAAACCACGGGAAGTGACGAGTTAGAAGGCTAGCCACTTGTAAATTGATATAGATTTTAGAAATAAGTTATGATCTTGTAAGCTAGAGTGCACTTGGAGATTTTATGATATCAGAGAAATTTTAAAGATTTGATCTTCAGATTTTGATGGTATCAGATTATGGTGTGATAAGTTCCGAATCTTGTGCATTTGTGGGGTCTTCTCACAAGTGCACGGCGTCTGTCGCGCCTCGAATTTGGGTTTTGGGGCGTGACAGTTATCTTTTCATTAGTAAACATATCTATAATATAATAGAAGGCATTATCTTAAATAAAATCCTAGTTTTACATTGTGTAACTCTTAATAATATTAGGAGTGGATTTGCTATTACAGTTGTATTAGAGACTTATTTGTCAATGAAAATCATTGAAGGACTTATTTGCATATTTTTCTAACTTAACAAAGTTATTTAATAGATGACTTAACCCATAAATTAACAATATTAGCAATTGTTAATGCTAAAGACCTTAATTGGTCACTCTTTAATATATTAAGGTACTAGCATTTCTAACTTTCTATGTGGGTAGTTAAGATTTTTTTATATTTAAGAAAAATTATTTGAAATAGATAATAAAATTATATATATATGACCTTAATTATTCACACTTGATGTAATACATATAGGAAAAAGTGCACATCAATTTTAATTCTCAAAATAAATTAGAATATCAATCTTAAATTATGTCATTTTATTTAATTAAATCTCAATTCAAAATTTAAAAATATATCTTATTAAATATTGATATTTATATTTGAAAACTAATTATATATTCCTGACTATATTGGAATATGTAATTAGTATTCAAATTTAGGTATTAACATTTAATAGGGTGGACTTCTGAATTTTAAATTGGAATTTCGATTTCCCAATGTAGATAGGGACTCCAATTTTTTTGGAGTCAATACTAATACGCACTAACTTTAAATATATATATATATACATATATTACTTATTGAATTTTATTTTGTTTTCAATTATCTCCTTATTTTTTTAGTTATAGTATTTAGGACTTATTTGGTATAACGATTAAAATTCAGTAAATAACAGATAGTTAATAGTGGTAGTAAATGGTAGTTAACATATAACAGATAGCAAAAAATAGGTAGTGGATGGTAGATAGTAAATTTAATTTGTATAACTATTTGATTATATAATAATTAGCTATT